TCTGACTGAGCATAGGTCTGTGTCCACCCACTATCCCTGGTGCCCCTCCATACCCTGCTCTTTACCCCTGGTCCCCAGTGCTGCCTGCAGCCCCCTGGGGCCCCTCCTCACACCCTGTGACATCTCCCTCCCTTATAGACACTAGGGCTCCACCTCCCCACTTTGACGGCCTTGGCGCCCACCCTCCTGATCCAGATCTCACTGTCCCTCAGAGGTGCTGGGTGAGCAAGAGGGCAAGCAGGCAGGGCCCAGGCCTATGGTGGCACTACCCACGGGCTGCCAGGGACACTGGGACTGAGAAGAATCCAGGACAAGGAGGCCTCACCTGTTGGGGGCTACCGACTCAGGAGAAGGGCCAAGACCCTAAGGGTATGCAGATCCCAGCCCAGGGCCCAGAGCCAGAAGACAGCAGCAGGGCCCCATGGCTTGTGGTTCCCCAGGGTGGGAGGGGAGGGGGCGCAAAGCCGCCTCTCAGCTGAGGCAAGTGTTTGATGGGTTGGAGGCTACTGCTTGGAAGGCCACCCCACCCAAAGCCCAGCTGTCACCTCTCTACACCTCCCATGCTCAGGGGTAATGTTCAGGGCCTGCTTCCAGGCCGGGTCAGCTGGCAGCGGCAGCCCAGCCGTGGGGGAGGGAGTCCAGCAGCACGGAGTCCAGTATCGCCAGCCTCGGAGCCACCTCACAAAAGCACAGAGCCAGGTTCCTTCAACTCTGGTTTTATTGAAAAACAGCAGCATTGGGGGCCGAGCAGGCGGGGACACACACCCACTCAGGCCCCCAGCCTGTCTCCTTGGGAACTTGGCTTGTTGCCTGGCCCTGTGGCTGTTTGGCACTTCCTGGGTCTCAGGACACCTCCGCCCCATGTGGGCTCACAGTACAGCTTCAGGAACAACCACAACAGTAGACCTGCACCTGGACCAGGCCCAGCCAGTGTCCTGTCCCAGGGTCTCCAAGTCCTCTGCCCTACCCTCAGCAGGGAGGGAGGTGGCCAGAGAAGCGGGGTCATGAGAGGCTCACCAGCCCACAGGGCTGTGCTACATTCACATGGATCTGGGCCTAGAGGAGTGGGAACAGCAAGGGACGACCACAGGACCCTGCTTCTCACCACAAGCAACCTCCCAGAGCAGGAAGGAGGCTCTTCCCACCGGTGCCCTCTCCACTGCTACACATGTGCACAATCATTCATACGCACACGTGTGCACACACTTACAAGGACATGCCCAGGCACACACTCATAGACATGAATGTGCGCACATGCACACAGACATGTTCACAGACACACACGCAACATGAAGATGTTCACACATACACATGCACACCTGCAGGTGCCCATGTGGACACACATGCTCATGTGCACATGTACACATGTGCTCACACATGCACACCTGCTCAGAGATGCTCCTGAACACACATGCTCCCATATATACAATACACATGTACCCATACACTCCTGTGTGTGCTTGCACACACACACTCACGCACATGCTCACACATACATAAGCGCGCATGCACAAAGACAGGAATGCACGTTTACATACACAGGTACACTCCTTTAAAATGGCTAATTATTGCTGTGTTGTTTTTTTTTAAATACATCCAACAATGGTATGTCAGGGCTCATCCTCACCCAGGCCAGGGTAGCTCTGTGGACATGCCACCACTGGGAGCAGAGATGGCAGCGTCAAGGAACAGTGCGCTCCAGGGTCTGCTCCACACCTGGCCTCAGGTCATCCCTGACATTTTTGTCCCAGGAGTCACCTGTAAGAACATGGCCCGAGACCAGAACTGACCCCCAGGAGCCACCTCCAACAGACACAGCAAGTCAGCAGGGAGCAGACAAGGGTCAGCAACAGGGCCCACGGCGGCCAGAGGCAGTGGCTCCCCAGGCACCAACAGGAAGGAGCCCACACAGTCCACTGCCTGGCTGGGCAGCCTCCTTCAGTCCTAAAGAAGTCCTATGCCCTAGCAACGCCCAGAAACCCACACTCCCAGGACCCTGGCCCCAGACACAGCCTTGTGATCCAGTCCCATGGATTCGGGAACTTGGGGCCACTGAGGAGAGGCAGGCAGGGCAGGGGCAGTGTGCCCCCCCTTGGGCTAGAGACGACCCTATGGCTCAGAGAGCGTCCTAGGCACCTGGCAGACTGCCCATGAAGCTCACCTCGGGGTGTCCCCAGCCCTATCCCTTCTAAGGCCTGTGGACTCATGTTGCCTTGCCTGAGGAAGGATACCAGGGGCTGCCCCAGGACCTTATAGCTTCAGACTTGCTGTCCACAAGACCTCCCAGCCAGAACCCTCTCCCAGAGCCAGCCGTCTACCCTCTCAGACCAGGCTGGCCCTATTCCTCAGCTTCTCCAGTCAGAGGTAGTATCACAGCTGCTGCTGTGCCCAGGGTGGTGCAGCAGAAACCCAAACTGGGCATGGGGGGAGGGGGAACAGGAGGGTAGGCCACGATGGCTGCAAAGGCTCCAGCCCTCACACTCAGAGCCCCCATGTGCTGAGGCACATGTGGGTGAAATGATTGCCTGGTCACCCACCTTAGGGGCTATCTGTCTGCACAGATGTGTGCCTGGGCAGAGGGAGCTGCTGCACACCATAGGTTTGTCTAATGCTGATGTCCTGGAACATTCTACTTCTATCTTTCACCCTCCCTACTCCAAACCAGTCTTCCAAACACACAACAGAAATCCCAAGTATCCAGACCCTGAGCACAGGGCCTTCCTGTGGGAATGGCCAAAGGCATGTTAGCCTTCCCCCAGGCCTTTCCAGGCCAGGAACATGGGTGCCAGCCACCTAAGGTGGGCAAGGCCTCGGGGAGGAGGACAGCAGGCCAGCAAACTCAGGGGAGCCACACTGGACACATGGCAGCCAGGCCCAGGAGGGCCTCCACAGAGGTAGAAGATACATCAGAATCTCTACAAACATATAAAATTCATGTCAGTGCACATTGGCGGAGCAGTCACTGCTCAGGCTGGAGGGATAAGGCAGGTGGGGAGAGGCCCAGCCTGCAGCCTGGAGGGGCAGGAAACCTGCCCACAGCCTTCCAGACCTGCGGAGCTGCGGTGGCCTGATGGGGGGCTCTGTCCCAGGTGCAGCCTGAGCCTGCCCTCCTCCTGCTGCATCTCTCCCAAGTCCTGGCAGCAACACAGGGCAGCACAGAACAGGCAAGAGCCAGGAAAGCGTCCCTGCACCCACTGGGCAGTGCAGCCAGGAAGACGTTCCCTCAGCGAGCCTGGGGCCACCAGGTGAGGAGGACACATCCCTCCCCCAGGACCCTCTGGAGTGGGGGAGGGCTGTGAGCTCACTCAACTCACCACCAAGGAGACACTGGCTGCCCCAGTCCCCAGGCTCTGCCCTGGCCTGGGAGAGCCCCAGCACCCCCATCCCGGGCCCTGACCCCAAAGACTGCAGGCTCCCAAGGCACAGGACAGGAGAAGCAGGCGGAGCTGCCCACCAACCACATACTGACTCCACCGYGCCCTGCCTCCTGTGCCCCAGGTCTCAGACCAGCCGGCAGCCCCAAACGCCCCCCTAAGACCAGCCCAAGACCAGCCCCAGCAACCAGACCAAACAGAAAGAGGAAAAGGCACGACTGTTTGTTTTCCATTTTGCTAAAACACTTTACGTCTGTCTGTATAATCCAGGTTAACAAAATCTGAGAGCTGCAAGAAAATAGGGGCCAATTTCTGTACAGTCTACAAAACTCCCATCCCCGAGTGGGGACCGGGCGCCACCAGGGAGGAATGTACAGGGGAGATCGGGGTCTGTACAGTGTTCTGCAAATGCCTCAATTGCTAACAGGACAAAAGGCCCCTCGGGACGTCCATCCATCCATTTCTAAGAACATGGCCTTGGGACCTAGCTCTGCGGCCTGCCCCACTGCCACTCCTCCTCCCCCTCCAACCCCATAGAGGTCTGAGTGGGCCTTTATACCCCTCTCATCACCAGAGCCTGGTCCAGGCTGCCACAGGGGCACTTCCAGTAACCACCTTTCTCCCCCATCCCAGGCCATCCCCACTGGGCCAGTCCCCAAATGGAACCTCACCCGGCCCCAGGACCCACCGCTCCTCGTGCAGCGCCCAGCTCCTCCTCCTGAGGCTGAGGGGCTCACCCTGCCCCTCAATCCTGCATGCCAGGGCTGGAGGGGCGGCCTGGACCCTCCTCACCACCAGGAATGGTCTTTAGGGGGAAATCACATTAAATTAGAGTCTCCCTCCAAATTTCAAACCGTGGAAGCCTCCATCGACCCGGCCACCCACCCCCATCCAAGGGGGCCAGAAATAGTGCATGTGCTAGCACCACACGGACGTGTGTCTGAAGGTACAAGCTACCGTTTGTCCCAAGAATTAAAGTCATGCAGAGTGCTATTCTGTCTAAGTAACTTATTAGAAAACGGGTTGGTTTCAGGCTGGGAGAAGCTGTGGCTGGGTATTGCCGGCAGCAGCCTGGGCTATAAGATTCACAGGGCAGACCCTGGTGGACAGCTGAGGCAGGAGGGCCTCAGGCAGCTGGGAGAGGCCACCTGATCTAGCAGGCGCTGGGGGAGAGGTGTCCCCCCACCAACCCCTGCCACACTGTGCAGTGGGTTGCTACAGGAACCACGCCTGGTGCCCGCCAAGTCAGCCAAGCCAGGGAGAGGGGCACATGGATCAACGGGAGTGAGACTGAGATGATGTCAAAGCAAAGCAGGGTGGATGGAGCAGGATGGTGGGGGCAGTCCAGGCCCACCAGAGAGCAGGCAGGGTGGGCAGAGGACAGGCCCCCCTGGAGGCAAGCTCAGACCAGGACAAGGGTGCTCACCAGCTTCGGTCCTGGGGTCCAGTCTGGGCAGGGCAGCAGGGCAGGGGGCTGTGGCATGCGGCATGCTGCGGCCAGGCCACGTCCTCAGCATGCACAGAGCAAAGCAGGGCCGCATTCAGCTCTGCCTCCTATGGGGCAGCGGGCCAGCCGGCCCAGCAGACCACACTCCAGGGACTGGCAGCTGAGCCATAGCTTGGTTAGGGGCCAGGAGGCTGCTCCTTGGGGGGCTTTGCTGCAGAGGTTCTGTGCTTGGTGGGCAAGGCCAGGCCTTCCCTGACGGAGGCAGGCTAGGCAGCTGGGTGGACAGTCTAGGTGGTCCACGATGCCACTCTTCAAGGAGTGGCAAGTCACCCTGACAGGCTGGGGAGGGCAAGGGGCCATGGCTGCAGATAACCCACCCCACCAAAGTGTCACGGATGAGCAACAGCCCCAAGGCCCCCAGAACCAGCCAGATAACTACGAGACGCTGAGAAAGGAAAACCCAACACAGATGCCAAGGTGAGCGTCTGAAAGCAGGGCCGCACCAGGCGGCGGGCAGCGGGCACAGGTGGACAGGGTGAACGGGGTGGCGGGCGGGTGGGCGGTTGCGGTCACTCCTCGCGCAGCTGCAGGCGGTAGCGGTGGTAGCGGACCTGGAAGAAGAGGCGCTCGGCCAGCGAGAGGGTCATGCCAGGCAGCACGTAGTGGTCACTTGCACCCATGTGTCTGAAGCCCAGCGACTCATAGAGCTTGTGGGCAGCCACCTTGACGGCTGTGGTGCCCAACACCACCGCGGAGTAGTTGTGCAACACTGCGAACTCGAGCACCTTCCGGCCCAGCGCCTTGGCGATGCCCTTGCCACGGAAGCGCGAGTCCACAGACATCCGCAGCAGCTCCACTGTGTTGTCCTCCTCGTGGGCCCGTGCAGCCACAATGCCCACCACGTTGCCATCCAGAACGGCCACCCAGAAGCAGGAGCCTGCAGAGGACAAGATGGTCAGGGATACTCCAAGGAAGGCTGGGGAGGACTCAAGGGTGCCAAGCCAGGGAGACTCAGCACCTGTGGCCCATCTCCCAGCTCTTCTGGACCCAAGGGGCAGCACAGTGCTGGACAAGCAGGTGCAGCTGTCTCCTCCAGACGCCCTCGGTCAGGCCCAGCCGGCCTGCTCTCTGCGGCCTGACCTGATGCTGCAGCCCAGACACACTCAGCTCTTAAGACCGGGCTGCCCTAGCGAGGGTGGCGGTCGGAGGCCCAAGTCCCTCCCCTGGGATCAAGACCTAGGCAGACTCAGCCAAGCAGGCCCCTGCTCCCAGACCTAATGGCCTCAGATGACTGTGGCCAGGCTTCAGGAGTAGCTGGCCCGCTCATCTCTGCCCCCAGCCTGCACATCAGCAGCAACCACAGCTACCCCCGTGCCCCTCCCTGAACCCCTCCTGCTGGTGCCCCCTTCCCTCCATGCAGGGCCAGGTGAGGGCTCCACACAGAGAACTGGTGCTATGGGAAAGAGTCAGGAGACTGGCAGGGGCCATGGCCAGGTGGGCAGGGCCAGGATGGGGCAACTCAGCCCACGCCAGCAACAGCAGCAGTTGGCACTATCGGAGTGGACTGCCACTGCCCAGCACTGACCCAGCTCCTGCTGGTCAGTGCCCCTCTCCTCAGCCCAGAGACACCCTAGCACCTGGGAGGTGTGCAGGCCCCAAAGGGCCAAAGGCTTCTTTCCTCTGGCTCCCAGGACCCAGCCTGCCTCAGGGCCAGCCTGGGAGAAGAGTAGCCCCATGTCTCTCTAGACTGGACTCCCAGTCCCTCCCACCACAGAAGGCCACAGTGGCTTGAACAAGACCCTCCTGTTCACTAAGTGGCCCCCAAACCACGCCATAAATGGAGGCCAAGGCTAAGGCCAGGATCCCTGCCCTGGTCCTCTGTTCCCTGGAGTATCCTTTGCTACAGGATGTCCAGGTGTCCTTTCTCCCTGCCACATGGGTTCCCTCCACCCAGGGCCCCTGCACTCCAGGCCAGCACAGGGTCCAGCAAGGTAGGACAGCCAGGATCTTGCCCCCCACCAAGCAGGTGCCAGCTAGAGCAGCAGAGTCAGGCTACCCTGGCCCAGAGTCAGCTCAAGCCACCCAGGGGGAGGGCTCAGCTCTGCTTCTCACAGTCCACTGGAACCCCCACCACTGGCAAGGCCTCAGTCACTCAGCAGTCTCAGGTCAACAGGAACCCCCAGCCCAGGCCCATCTGTGCCTGGCCCTGGCCCGCAGATGCTGGGGGTAAGGGCAGCTCTGCCAGAAGGAGGGGCCAAGGGCAGCTGCAGACCACAGGACTCACCAGGTGGCTTCATGTAGTACTGTTCGATGTCGGCCATGTCTGTGTGCAGCGCACACTCCAGGTAGGCCAGGATCACCTTGCGGCTGTAGTAATAGCGCAGGGCCAGCAGCCCAGCAGGCACCAGGCACGTCAGCATCAGCGAGCGGGTCACAGCAAAGCAGAGTGCTGCAGGCAAGGGGCACAGTTGAACTGGCAGGTGCAGGGCAGGCCTGGTCATGGGGTGAGCTACACAAACAAGGGCCTGCAACACCCAGCCCTGCCACCTTGGTAAACCAGCACTTCTAAGGACACACAAGTTAGGGAGATCTCCCCGCAGCAGCGGTCAGTCTGTGCCCCTTACTACTCTTCCCTAGTTTCAAAATTTCTGCCACAAAAATAAACTACCTCTGAAATCTGAGACAAGCGGGGCAGGCTGCCCTGAATGGCTGGGGGCAGCCTAGGGCTGGGTCCCCTGGATGCCAGTGCCTACCTCCCCAGCTGCCAAGGGGCTCTGCCCACCCTTCCCCACTGGATCTAGCCTGGTGCAAAACCAAGAGGCTGCCAGGAGCCTACCGGGGAGCAGCCCACAGGGCCTGTAGGCCATCCTACAGCTGGAGAGTCGGGGTGGCAGGGTTCCCTCCTTTGGGGACCTCCAGGCCTACAAGGACAGGGGCAGGAGAGATTTATGCCACTTGCAGCGCAATTCGGGCTGTGGAGGAGTGAGTCTCCTCTACTGTATGACCTTGGGAGAATCGCCTCAGCTCCTTGTCGGCAGAATGGGAGGGCAACCCTGCCCTGGCGGGGCTTCAAAAATGCGCGGGCCGTCCTCCGAGAGTGGCCCAGGTGCACAGTCCACCCGACGCCCCGCGGAGATGGCCGTCGTCCCTGGTACATGAGCACTGGGAGCCGCCGAGGCAGCCTCCCCCGCCCGCCGATTATATATAGTTCCCGCGCCAGGCGCCGGCCGGCCGCAGCACCGCACTAGCTGCCCCGTCACGCCGCCCGCAACCGCCACCGGGAGCCCGGGAGGCGACCCGCAGGGAGACCCGCAGGGAGGGCGGCGAGGATGCAGGTGGGGGGCTCTGCCCTTGGCGACCGCAGCCCCCGCTCGGCGCGCTCTGGTTCCCGGCCCCGGCCCCGCCGCAGAGTGCGGGCGCGGGCGTGTGCGGGCTCCCTCCCTCCCCGGACGGCGGGGCCGGGGCGCGGGCGCAGCTCCGGCCAGGCCCCGCCCGGGCTCCGGGGCGGGGGTCTGCACAGGGGGCCGGGCGGGAGCGGAGGGAGGAGCCTCGGGCGACGGTCCCCCAGGGGCCCGCCGGGCTCGCTCGAGCCCGGGCCCCGCGCGAGACTGCGACATGCAGGAGGCGGCCGGCGACCCCGCGGTCCCCGCCGCCCGCGCCGCGCACTGACCGGCCAGCAGGGCGTAGAGCAGCTGCGTGCGCGGGTGCTGCCGCAGGCCGCGGAAGGCCGTGTTGGGGATGCGCTCCAGGATGCCGTCGTAGAAGATGCGGCGCGCCGCCTCCTGCTCGGCTGCGCGGAACTCGCGGATGCACACGCCGCGCCCCGCCGGCGGCCCCACGCCCTCGGGACCGCCGCGGGGCTGGGGGCCCGGCGCGGGTGGGGGCGCGGCGGCCGGCCCGGGCGCGGCGGGCAGCGGGGGCCACATGGCGCCGGCGGCGGCGAGCAGCGCGTCCTTCTTGGCCCCCGGCAGCGCCTCATGGTCCTCCGCGGCCACGATCTTCGTCTCGCAGACCATGTCGGGAGGCCCACAATGCATGCACCCGGCCAGGCGGGCTGCGCGGGGACGCGGCCGGCGGCGGGCACTGCCCGGGCCCAGGGCAAGGGCGCGGCGCCCTCGGACCCGCGGCGGCGGCGGCGGCGGCGGCGGCGGCGGCTCAGGGGCGCGGGGCGGAGGCGGCGGGCGGCCGGGGCGCGCGCAGGGAGCTGCGCCGCATTTTGGAGAAGTATTTATAATGCAGCGGCGCGGGTGCAGTCGCGGCGCCCGGGGTCCCGCAGGGTCCTAGCGTCCACTGCATTGGCTGCCGAGGGTCACCATGTGATCTCGGGGGTGGGAGCAGACACCGCCTCCGCGCCCGCCGGGTGGCACACTGGGGCGCTGCGCGGCGGGCGGCGGGACACGACGGCGCGGCCGGGCAGACTCGCGTAGGGCCCGGGGCGCGCGGCGGCAGCSGCCAGGGCTGGGGGTTCCGGGCTCGGGGGCGGTCGGGGCCCCGCGAGTGGCGAGCGAGTGACGGGAGCCTCCCGCCCCGCCCCCTGCGCTCCCGCAGCCGCCGCTCGGTGCGGACCGCGGTGACCGCAGCACCGCGTCCTCCTCCTCCACGGCCGCTGGGCGCAGTCACGGAAGCATCTCCATCCCTTTGTCTGAATGCGGTGACCGGCCGAGATCTCGGGAGGGGCGCCGCGGCTCCTACGGGCCGGCGCCCCGGAACCTGCGGCCGGGGCGTCACGGGCGGAGGGAGTGGGGGCGCAGCCCCAGCTTGCGAGATGCCCACGCCACCTGCAGCCCCGCCGAACCCGGCGCAGGCAGAACCCAACTCAGACACCCGATTCCCGCAGCGGACGCGGGGGTGCAGAGCCTTCGGGACCCCTCCCGACCCGGCCCCCCGCCCTCCGCGGCCCGCGCATGCGCCTCGTGGCACCGGTGCAGGTGCCGCGGGGGCTCTCCGCTCTAGGCCGCGTTCTCGTGGACCCGGGAGCAGGACCTGCAGACGCAGCAGGCTGGGCTCGGAGACCTGGTGTTCTAGTGGGGGAACGGGTAGTCGCAGGCCCAATGCTCAGCGCTCCCTGAACCCAGCCCTGTGCTGCTCTGCACCCTCCCCTATGTCACCCCTAAGGGCCATCCCAAGCAGAGTTCCCCACTCCCGCGGGTTGAGGATAGGCCTGGGACTTCAGGCCCAAGGATCCTCAGCCTGCGTTGCRCTGTGGAGTTGGAGCCCCTAGCCGAGGTCCCCTTGGGGCCCGACCCTGGGTGGAACGTGGGAGTGGGAGAGAGGTTAATCTGCTCACTGGCCTGGGCCACCCGTGCAAGGACCCTGGTGTGGGGAGGACAACACCAAGCTGGGAAGGTACCCCCTGCACGTTTCCAAAACCCGAGGACTTGTCTGGGCCCGGCTGTGACCTTTCCAGAACAGGGCAAAGGAGTCACCGGAAATCTCTACCGTCTCACTCATCAACCCCTTTAGGGTTCCTGAGCACCTACCAAGGCCCCAGGCCAGCCACCGGGCCCCTCTGAGTGTCCTGGGGTTGGCCAGGTAGACTGCAGGAAGAGTGGGTCAGCCTGCAAGGGGTCAGCACTGTGGAAAGTGGGGGACTGCTGCTCCTGGAAGCATCAGAGGACTGGAGGAAGTGAAGATGGGCATTGGGGGAACACGCTTCTGGTGGGGGCCAAGAAAAGGGAGAGGCAAAGCCCTCTCCAGGAGCTGCTGGACAGGGCCCAGCTGAGGCTCCAGACTTGGGTATGAAGGGGCCCTGAGACCTTAGGTGACCTCAGAACAAAGTGGTCCAGTCTCCACCCTTCACCCCTGCACCCTTAGTCTGAGGCTACCCTGTTCTGCTGTCCATGAGAGGTCCAAGGACAGAGATGAGGCCTGCCTGGTGCCCTTGGTGGGTCTCTAGTTTTGTCATCTGCAAAAGGTCCCTCCCTCCAGCTGGCCTGACTGCACCCCCCAGCCCCTTCCCCAAGTCCCCTGTAACCATGTGACCCCGAAGCCACCCCCATAGGTCACTGTAATGCGCCACAACCAGCTAAGAGCAGGCCCCGTCCTGGCTGAGCTCCAGTTTCCTCCTCCAAGGCAGTGGGGGAAGCTGGTGCCTGTCCCCATTTCACAGAAGAGAAAACAGAGGCAGAAACCCAGACTCGTTGGCTCTGGCAGGGCCCTGCCGCTGTCCACTCCCCTGCCCTGTGCTTCCATAAGGACCCTCTCATCCAAGACTGCAGCCATGCCCACACCTGTGGGGAATTCACCTTCCCAGATCATCTGCAGCCTATTACGGCCTCAGAGCCAAGATAAGATGGGCAGGGGCAAAGAGTCAGAGACCCCAGGACAGACCACACCACCCGTCAAGTGGGCTCCCTCCACCTGTGCTCCTTTCAAGAGGCTGAGGTCAGGCCTTCGGCACCTTTGACTGAGCCTGTCTTTGGTCAAGGTCACCAGTGACCAGCGTTGCCAGGTCTTGTGGTGTGGCCTTGGAGCTTCCCCCTCAGCAGCAGGTAACACCCCAGCCCTCCCTTCTGCCCAGAGCCCTTGCCCTCCGTCTGGGATGCACCTCAGGCCTCTTCCTCTGCTCGGGAGTCATCCCATCTCCCAGGCCTCTCCACTTCTCTCCTCTGTCCACACTCGGCCACCCAGATCTCAGCCAGCCTATCTACTCCAACCTTCCCTCTCTGCACATGTACCAGTCTGGTGGCCTCCAGAGCTCAAGGCTTGCCCCCAGAGCTCAAGGCTTGCCCTTGCCTCCTCCCTCCCCACTCCAAACCCCATTGGCTCTATTTTCAAATACATCTGAGACCCAACAGCTTCTGATCCTGCCTGTGGCCACCTGCCCAGCCCCAGCCCCTCACAGGGCCATTCTGTCCTTGCAGAGGTCACTCTCTACCACAGCCAGAAGCACCCTGTTCAAACATACCTCATCTACTTGCTCAGAGCCCCGCAAGGCTCCAAGGTGGCTCCCCGCCCCTGCACCCCCTCCTTCCTCCTAACCACTGACCACCTCCTGCTCCAGCTCCCTGCCACCGGAGCCCCCTGCTGGCAGGACAGGAACATGCCCACAAGCCCCCTGGCCCTGTGCCCCAGCTGTTTGTCACACAGGGCATCTCCCCAGAGAGCACCCTGCAACACCCTCTTAGTCATCCCCGTCTCTTTTAGTGAGAGGTCAGTTTGTACCGGGGCTAATGGCTGCCCATAAAACAGGACACCCGTTAAGTCTGAATTTTGAATGAACATGGGAAATACATACACCAGAAGTGACGTCCTCATTCCGGTATTTGAGTTGATAAACCTGGCAACCCAGACGAGACACGCTGCACTCCCAGCCTCCCTTACACTAACTGAGGCCCACCAATGGCAGCACAGCCTTGCCCCCACAGCCTGGCAGGCACCGCACGGCCCAGGAAGGGGTGAAGGCCAGCAGAGGCCCAAGGCCTGCCACAGCCTCAGTACTGTCTCTCCCTGGCCTGCTGTAGGGCTTCCATGGACATCCATGTCTCCTCACCACGGTGTGCGCTCCTCCATGGGGCTGGTTACCTGAGGCCCTAGAGGCTGCAGGCCAGGTACCACCAGGCCCTTCCAGCACAGGTCAGCCGTCTGGTGGCCAGGGCAGGAGCACTGAGGAGGATCCAGGCGTCCATCCTCAGCAGAGGCACCTCAGCAGAGGCAGTAAAAACACCCGGGCAGGCCCAGAGGTGGGGCTGGTGGACCACAATCTCCTGCGCATGTGCCATGCTCCCGGAGTCAGCGGCACAGGCGGCAGTGCTGCACCCAGGCAGCAGTAGCCAGGGAACTGGAGCCCCAGACGGGCCAGCTACCCCACCTGGGATGAGTGGTGGCTACCTGGGCGTTCCCTACGATGCTCCGGAGTACCCACCACTGCCCAATCCGCCTCCCTCTCCCAGTAGCCCCAGGCTCTCAGGGAGCCCCCAACTCTAGCCACCCCACTCCCGGGCAGACAAGCCTTGGGGGGATCTGCCCTGGGGCATCTCCTCTGGGAACTCACGGAGGTCAGGCCAGTTTCCAATCCTCTGGCCTCTAAAAAGGGCAGGCTGGCCAGGCGGGCAGGACCCAGACAGGTACCAGATGCTTGTGGGTGTGGGTCCGTGAGTGTGGACAGATGTGCTGTCCACCTCTCAGCACTGGTGCTATGGGGACATGAACCAGAAGGGCCCCTCCCACCTGGAACATCTGGGGAAACCCAGGCCCAGAGAAGGGCCCAACCAGGGCTCCTGGGGGTGGCGCAGGGCTTGGGTGGCCAGAGCAGGAGACAGGACACGAGTGTGGGGGCAGGCGTTTATTGAAAGGGATCAGCACTGGCAGAGAGTCTTCAGCGCCCAGCTGGCCAGCAAGCACACAGGGCTCGGCGCTCGGCCTGCAGCAGGAGGGTCTCTGTCTGCAAAGCAAGGAGAAGCCATGTAAGTAGTCCCCACTGACCATCTCCCCTCACTGACTCCAGTCCAGGGGGCCTCCGACTCCTGGATTCTCCGCCCCCGGGAACTGCCCGACATCCTGGCTGCTCCTTTGCCTCATCTCCACCCCAGTCCTCTGGAGCCTTTCACTGGGGGCTGCTGGGAGCCACCTCCTATTCTTCTACTAGGAGCTACTCCCTGTCTTCTTCAAAGCTGCCCACTCAGGGCTTCTTTGTCCTGCACCTCCCACTGTAGCCCCCAAAGGTGGGGACAGTTCCTTCCAAGAATCCAGCTCCGGGCTGGGGTGTGGGGCACACTAGGCCTCCAGTGGGCCCTCTGCGCTTGTGCAGGAGAAGGCGCCGGGGCTTGTGGGTGGTGGGTCTCCCCTTCTCTCTACTTCCAGGAATTCTTCCTCCTTCCAATTAGTAGTTCCCTTGGTTGAGCCCCAGGACCTGAGGGATTCCTGTTGGTGCCCCAGAGGGCATCCCTGAGAGTCCAGTGCATGCATCATCCCCAAACCACCCAGCCCGACCTGACCTCCCATCCCTCCCACTCCAGCACTCTCTTCCCCGACCTCAGCTTCCCCAGGCCTTCCCCCACCTGGGGATCCTGGATGAGGGCTGGCCTTCCTGGAGGGCCAGTCTGCCTCAGCACGCCTCAAGACGAGGCCGAGACCCGCACCCAGCCCGGCCCCGCCCCCAAGCCCCGCGGCTCACCCGCGCGTCCAGGCTGCGCGCCGTCTTCCGCAGGTCCTGCAGGGCGCGCTGCATGAACTCGAACGCGTGGCAGTCCACGCACGGGCGGCCTGGGGGCCCGGGCCGGCGTCACCGCTGCAGGGTTCCCCCCCATCCGAGGGTCCCACCCGAGCACGAGGGTCCCCTCCCCTCCCACGGGGCGGACCCGCTCCCGGGAACAAAGGCGGGGCGGGGCCTCCCGCGCGCCCCGGGGCTCCGCAGCCGCCCGGTGCCACCCTCCGCGGCCACCTACTTTGCGCGGGGACGACGCTCCCGGCGGCGGGCTCGGCGCGGGCGCCCAGCAGCGCCAGGCTCAGCAGCAGCAGCAGCAGCGACAGCAGGCACCGGCACGCGGGCGGGGAGGCCATGGCCGAGGAGGAGCCCGGGCCGCCCTGCAGCGAGCGCAGGGTCAACGTCTTCCGCAGGTCCCCGCCCCGGCCGCGCCCCCGGCCCCGGCCCCGGCCCCGGCCCCGAGAGCCCGGCCCGCCGCCCCGCCCGCCCCTACCGCGGTTCGTGGACCCCGCGACAGAAGCGGGCGACTGGGGAAGACGCTCCGTCCGGCGCGCGCGCGCATGCGTCCGACCCGACCCCGCCCGGGCCTCCGCCGCCGTCGTCATGGGAACCCCGGGACCGCGCGGCGCGGGCCGGCGCACCCTGGCTGCGGGGCTGCCTGGCCGGTCCCGAGCCCCTGGGTGAGAGCAGGTAGGCGCCACGGCCCGCGGGGGCCCGACCCGGGGTCCCTGCGCGGGGGCGGGGCGGAGGCACACTCGCGGGTCCCCGGGCCTTCTGGCGGGGCCCCCGCCTCCCCCGACCCCGCCGGAGCCGAGAGCCTGGCCACGCCTCCCCGCTGTGCCACCCGGGTGGTCGCTTGGCCTCTCGGTGCCGTCCCCCCTTGAACGCGCGGATTGCAGGACTCAACCTGGCGCTGCTAGCGGCCAGCGTGGCGCCGATGAGTGCGACCTCGGTCGCTGGGCCCGGTGGACAGCAGAGCCCTTCCCCTGGAGGGTGCCCCGACGCGGAGCGGCCACTGCGTCCCCCGCCCTGTCTGCCTCGACCTCCACGGAGTCGCGACCCCTGCTTCCCCTGCGGTCGGATGGCCGGCCAGACGCGGTGTCCTCACCCTGCGCGAGGATGCGGGAGGCCTGGTGCCCCTGGACCTAGCCGTGCTTGGTGGGGACGCCGCACCCGCCTTTCCGGAAACGCAGGCAGGGCCGCGCGGGGCGGGGGAACTCGGTTTCCCGGACGAGGCGTCCGCCAGCAAGCGCGCACTTGTGAGTTCACGCAGGTGACAGGCCAGGGGTGTCCCGAGAGCCTCCTGGCAGAGGCCTTACTCAACCGGTCGGCCGCACGGTGCCTTGGACTTGTGATCTACCCCTGTCACCGTGTCCCCAGCCAGGTCCTGGCCTCCCCCAGAAGCAAGGCTCAGACTAGACCCCAGGCGGTGGTGCCTTGCCAGCAGCGTTGTCGCCTGGTCCAAGCAGGCTGGGTAGTGGGGAGGGGGTCCCCAAAGCTGACACCATTCCTGGGCTTGATAGTGCACCCTTCCCACTTTTTCCGCCCTGAGGTCTGCACCTCCCAGGATCCAGCCAACATGCCAGCTCCAAGCACACGCTGGACACTGGCGCGAAGGTGCACGTCTACCGCCCTGGGGCTGCGGGTCCTGGGCACCACACACGCTCCTTGTCCCTGCTGGCCCCTGACCTCCAAGGCCCCAGCGGCCCTCTTGCGCCTTGCTGTGCAATTCCGCAAGCAGGCTGCGGTTTCCTGCCTACCAGGCCACATAAGCCTTCCCGCGTCCTTGCCGGCAGTGCCTCTCCACACTGTCCATGTTCTCCTTTCTCTCTGGAGCCCACTCTGGTTGCCTCTGTCCTCGCCCTGCCCTCACATACTGGCCTGCCTCTGGGCCATCCCTTTACCCCCACCTTTTCATGACTTCTCCTGAAAGCTGGACCCTGGGCCTCTTCTCCACCTAGCCCATCCTCTGTGACCTTATTAGGTTGGCTGTGAAGGCCATGCAGTGAGCAGCCAGGGCCTGTGTCCCCACCTCAGGTTCATGTCCACTGGTCTCTGGACACCTGCACTGGAGAACAGCTTAGTGGGTGTGCATTCACCACTGTTGCCCCTCAAGATCATGCAAAGTACCCTGCCCACAGTCTTCACCCCTCAAAGGGCAGCTGCATCCTTGGGATGCTCCACTAAAACTTGCTATGGTCCTTCAGATGTCCCACCAGCTCCACCATAGAGTCCACCAGGTCTCCTCCCCAGGCCCCTAGCTGCTGGTCCTCCTTGTTGTCTGCTTGTGACCAGCCGCTGGGGTCCAGTTTCCACAGTCAGAGGAACTTTTTATTTTTAATTATGGTAAAATATATGTAACATAAAACTTACCATCTTAACTCTTCCTAAGTGTGGTTTGGTGGTGTTAAGTATGTGCAGTGTGGTGCAGCCATCCTCAATGTCTGTCTCCAGAACTTTCTCATTTTCCCAAACTGCAATGGTCCCCATTTAGGCCACAAGGCCCCTTCCTCCTCTGGGCCCTGGCACCCATCTAGTTCCTGTCTGTGGCCTGACACCTGAGGGCCTTGCATGAGTGCACCAGGTGGGTGTGCCTATGAGCCTTCTGTCATCTACGGGGCATCCAGTGGGGTTCCAGGTCCTTGGTGTCCTGCGCAAAGAATTAAGCAGGGCACACAGGAGCAACAGGCAAAGATGAAAGTAGCACTCAGAAGGGCAGAGTGGGAGGGAGGGATAGATGCAGATCCTCAGGGTGAGGCAGCACTGCCCTGTGGGGACCCATCCAGGGAGTTGAACACAGTTTGGAAGAGGTTCAGTTCACACTCCAGATAGCAAAACATCTCCACTGTTAGCTGGAAAAAGTTGTTGATGTCACTTTCTCCAGGCTTGTCCAGATGTTAGTTGTTCATCTGAAGGTTTATGGGAACCTGGGGTTCTTGACATGGTACTCCATCTCATTCTCAGCAGTTTGAGGGAGATACAGCAGAGCTGTCCATACCCCTTGCTCTGGTGGCCCCCACATCCTGCTCATGTTACTCAATTCATTTTATCTTAGAGAGTCCTTCGGGACACTGGGGTGTCCATCGTGGAGAAGTGTTCCATTGTGGAACACATGGCCAAACTTCCAGCAGAGCATGGCGTTTCTGTAGAGGGGTAGCAGACTGATCATAGACCAGGTCTAAGCTCCTTTCTCATTGTGGGTGCCCAGGATGATATTTTGGCCTGTTTTCCCTTTACAGCCACTTCCTGTGTATTAATGGCCTTACTGATACTGACCGTCTGAGTTCCCTAGAAGCTCTTGTGCTCTGCCACCCCCAGCAGGATATGCTGACCCTGCTCCAGCTCAGCACCTTGGGCAGCAGGTTGGGCACCTGCTCCATGGAGCTGGCCATCTGATCCATGTTGCCATGTGGAGCTGAGTCAGGGGGGCCTTGGCCACCCCAGCTCATTTTAGACATTATATAGAAACCAATACTTTATTGTATGACCACCTAGGAAAATTTGTGAGTTAATAATTTTAATCTGTTTACTTAATTTAACTTCTTTTTTTAAGCCACATGAATTAAAAGGTACTTGGAGCCAATACACTTAAAATTTAATTTATGAGTGCTCATTTATTTATATGTCGATTTTTATACCACATACATAATATATGGACACAAGCATGTATGTAGAAACAATACAATACACAGGTGTGCACTCATACATAAGTCTGTTTTATAACTCTTTGTAAGTGGAGCTCCATAGATAGGAGGCAATGTTACAGATGTTTATTAAAGCCTCTATTAGATTTAACCCATTAAAAATTAAAATACAGGGCTGGGATGTGGCTCAAGCGGTAACTTGCTTGTCTGGCATGCGTGGGGCGCTGGGTTTGATCCTCAGTGTTGAGAGCCACAGCCGATTCGGAATAGCCCCTGGCATTTTGCCAGAAGTAGTGGTTGAGAGGTGACACCAGCAAGCCATTAAGATGATGACTTTTGAGTTCTGGCGGAGTTTCCGTTGAGTTCTGGTTGAGCTCCCGMGGGGATTCCTGAAGAGCTCGCGTTGGTTGGTGGAGTTTCGGTGGAGGGAGTTCCGGTTGGGGAGTTCCGGTTGGTGTGTGGTCCCTGGAAGGACTACGTGGGTGGCATTCAGGGGAGTTCGGAAATAAAGTTTGTTCCTGCTTAAGTGGCTCGTGATTTGTCCCCAGCCAGACTGCGGCACCTCGGCACTACCTAAAAATAAAATAAAGATGTTGTGTCCACCAAAAAACTAAAAAATAAATATTAAAAAAATTCTCTTTTAAAAAAAAATTAAAATAGAACCTGTCAGACTTTTACATTATGACTTAAATATATGCTAGGTCTGTACAGTGGAACTGTCAGCTGTAAAGTCTGAGGTAGATACTGCAGAGCTGTCCATACCCCTTGGTATGGACACTGAAATCAAAGGTTCAGAGGTGCTGGAATTGTGGCTCAGTGGTAGAGCGCTTGCCTAGCATGGGTGGGACCTGGGTTCGATCCTCAGTACCACACAAAAATAAAGGCATTGTAGTGTGTCCATCTACACCTAAAAAATAAATATTAAAAAAAAAGTTTCAGGTAGCCAGCTATATGTCCTTGATGACTACCAGACTTATTCCCAACATCATCATGTCTATGTCCTCCTTAGGAATTTTTTAAAAAAATATTTTAGTTGTAGTTGGACACAATACCACTATCTTATTTTTATGTGATGCTGAGGATCGAACCCAGGACTTTGCTCATGCTAGATGAGCACTCAACCGCTGAGCCACAACTCCAGCCCCTCTCCTTAGGATTTTGTAAGAAGAAATTTTCTAATATATTTGAGAGTCAACTGTTGAAAAACTGGTCTCTAAACAAAGAGTGTAAAAATCTCTACAGTTAGATAAGACTGACCAGAAAAATACATTAATTTAGGTGCCTGCCATGCGACCAGCGCTGGCTTCATGAAAGAAGGTTTGATTCATGAGTAAATGCTAGGGAGTTTTAAATTAAAGAGACAATACTCTTATTACCTTTAATACCACTCCAGGACAGCTTCTCTTAGCTCCCGCCTCCAGCCACCTAATGCGGTGGCGAGGTTTATAGAAGAGGCTAGCAAGAGAGGAAGAACATGCCAGGGAGTGGGCTTTTATTGGGGAAAAAAAAAATTCAAGGGAAAATCCCATCCAATGAAGGTTAAGGGGGGGCAGCATCCCAAGGTCAGGGGCGACGACTGGGTCTTCAGGGCAGTGGCCAGGCATGCCTCTGCACGGACAAGCCCTCAGACCTGGAAAAGGGTGGGGAAAGCTCTAACACAGCTGTGTCTAAGGACCTCTCACCCAGCCAAAGAGGTAACTCAAATCACGTGCAAGGATGGCCTCCCACATATTCCCCCTTTTTCTTTTAAAAAGCAAGCAATGATTTACTCTCTCGAGCCTCTGCACTCTCGCTCTGAAGACTCGCCATCCTATAATTACAACACACACAAAAAATTAACAGCAAAGAGAACAATCCAATAATGTACCAGGCCGAGTGTTTAAGAATATTTCCAGGGTTAAATCCATTTAATTTCTTCAATATTTGATTAGCCAAAGAAGAAGGATCCAAAAAATCAGCTCTATTATTTTGAATGTCTTGGATATGATGATGGAGTGCCAAAAGATCCAAGCTATTATTATTATTTTGCCAAATACCCAACAAATGGTTCTTAACCTTCTCCCAATCCCAGAGAGAAGCAGTGTCCTTGGCAGCTAGAACACACACATATTTATAACTTGTGTGGCATTTAAACCTTTCTTTAAACTTTAAAGCTGAAAGTTCATTACCTATATTTATAACAGTCGCCTCTAAGGCATTTAACTTAGTCTCAATCCTTTCATCAATATTTACTTGATTGCACAGAGCCTTGGAAGTATTTTGGGCTAAATTATTAAGAAATTTTACGGGGCTGGGCTGTGGCTCAGCTGTAGAGTGCTCGCCTAGCACATGCAAGGCCCTG